GCAGAGACAGAATACGCTTCGCAGTGGGGTCTGCAAGAGGGGGGTATTGCAGGGATGCCAGAACAGACTGTCGGGCCAGGTAACAAAACAAAATAACAAACAAACCTGGAAACCTGGGAACCATGGCCAGACGGGATGTAACGGCCTATTTGCACAGCTGCCCCTCTAAATCAGCCACCGTGCTGCGAGGCATTGAGTGGAATGGCATCGGGCCCTTCCGAATCCTCGATATGGGCCATTGCAAATGCACTCGAAAGGCTCCAGACTCCGAACTCAAGGAAACTCAGGGCGTCTCTAAGTGCGTCGGCTTGCCACATGGCTTGTAGATGCCATGACGATGAACACCCTGACAATCTCATCATTGCATTGGCAATCTTTAACATGTCGAAAAGATGTTCTAAACATGTGTGAACCGTGCTTGTTACGTGTTTAAGACATGTTTAAAACATTGTTTGACATTTGGAAACTATTTGGCAACATGTTTTCTCTCCACTGATCGTCGTCCACAACGCATGGCCTTTCTACCAACAAGGCCCACACTGGCCCAAGAAAGTCACATGGGGTCATCAAGACGGCCCACGCGGGGCCCTAGACCGCATCTCATGCCTCCAAGACGGTTGAAGCTGGCTTGCAGACGACCAACGAGGCCACCGAGACGCCCCAGGATGGCTCCACGATGATCCCCAGCAAGGCCGCAGGATGCAGAACCCTCGGTTCCCCAATCAGAGCTTGCCTCTGTAGGGGTCCTAGCGGATTCATATGGTTAGGTGAGGTGCGTCGCCGATTTCGGCGGCCCGCCCGGGTGCCCAAATGCTCGGGTGCCCGGGAGCTACGTCGCCGATTTCGGCGGCCCGCCCGGGTGCCCGGGTGCCCGGGTGCCCAAGTGCCTGGGTACCCGGTAGCCCTATAGCCCTATAGCCCTATAGCCCTCTAGCCCTATAGCCCTATAGCCCTATAGGCCTACAGCCCTATAGCCCTATCGCCCTATAGCCCCATAGCCCTACAGACCAATCCCCCTATAGCCCTACAGCCCTATAACCTTATAGCTTTATAGCCCTATAGCCCTTGAGCTCTATATGCCTATAGACCTAAGGCCCTATAGCCCCATAGCCCTATGGACCTATAGCCCTCAAAAGATTAAGATAGGGTTTTTGTTTCTCCGGTATCATCTATATGTTTACACTGTTAAATGTGAGTATCATTACTAGCATGCGTATTATTATTGTTATTATTCTTATTGTTATTAGTATTATTATTGTTCGTATTCGTATTATTGCTACGTGTATTTATAATGACATATAATTATATCACATCGCGCCGCGCACCAAACCATTTTTACCCCGCGAAGCGGCTGAAACCCCGACGAAGACGGGGGCGGCAGAGAGAGAAATCCCAAACGGTAAAAATAGTGACAGGACCGTAACTCGCAACGCTGTGTGGCCACTTGCTTCTTGACTGAACCGCATCGGGTTTGGCCACAAGAAACGCTACTTCATCACCACGGCACGGCATGATCCTGAAGGGAGCGCACCAGCAACCAAGGGTGCAGGGAGGCCAGAACTGTAGGCCTACCTGCTCGTGCCTGCTGCCAGACCGAATCGCGGCTCAATGTGACCACTTGCCCCTCGAGAACATCGCATCGGAATGTTGCCGCGAATGCCATCCTGCCACCATGGCAGCGCATGATCTTAGATGGGGGCGCAACACCACGCAGTGCAGGAAGGCCAACACCAGAGGCCTGCCTGCCCGTGCCCGGCCCGTGCCCGTGCCCATATCCCCAAATCCAGGATCTGCGATGGGAGCGCCGCTTAGAGATGATCTCGGCGTGCTGAGCTTGTGGGCGAGAGAGGAGGGCAGCATTCCTGACCAGGCCGGCGGGCTTCGAGTCTCGCAATCGATGAGCGCCGACTGGGCCTCCTTTTTTTTTACACAGGCGCAGCGTTCGGGCCAACCTGCAATAGGCGAGCCGTAGCGCGCGACCACGCCAAAATTCAGAGCAGAGCCCGAGCTCCGTGAATGACCACGTAAACGAAGGCGAAGAAAAAAGAGGAGGAGAGGAGAAGAGGGGGAGCAGGACGAGGAAGAGGAGGACGAGAACGAGGGAGTCGACCTGCGGTCTGGCGAATGCGCTAGCCAGCACGGGCCTCCCGATACGAATTCCCACTTAAAACGTATCTGTCAAAACGGGCCGTAGACTGGTCATGCCCCAGCGCTCGGGAACCCCCCGCGAGCGCAGCTCCGGTGGAGCGAATCAAACGCACCATCACGCTATCAGAAGGTGGAGAGGCGGCAGCGGCGGCAGCGGCAAGGAGGGAGGGAAGGAGACGGGATTGACTGGCGACCTACCGTGCCACACTAACGGCGGGCTGCTCTAGCGGAGTCCTTCGATTGAGAAGTTGTCCAGACCTGGAGCTTCCAGCATTCGGGGAAGAGCGAGGAAGGGACAGGCAGAGGAGGCGGAGAGCAGGCCCGCCCCAGCAGGGCAAGCCGGCGATCCGCCTCCGGGAGGCGAGAGCGGGAGGAAAGAGAGGAGGGAGAGGCGCAGCACCAATCGGCTGCACGACGCAGAACGTTCTCCAGTCCATCGGCCACGCGGCCGGGACAAGGGACACGATAGCTTGCACGGCATCGCTACGAATCGGCGCCTCGCCAGCCGACAACCTGGCAGCGCCGGCCGAGTAAACGTCACCGCATTATGGGTGCGCACGTCGGCCTACACTGGTTGTTCTCCTACGCGCTGGCGGACGATAAATCGACGGGCTGGCATCCCCAAGAACTGGGCAACAGCACGACTGCACAATTGGCTGGCAGCATCTCCTCCCGGAGTGTGCGAAAGACGTGTGCACAAGGAATAAGTGCCCGAATTTCCGCCCCAGGAGACGGCCTTGGTCCAGCGCAGCACCCAGATGGGAGGAGGGGGGGAGGGAGAGGAGGAGAGCGAGGGGGGAGACCAGCAACCTTAGCTACCGGCGGCGGCGTGGCTGCTGTGCGCGCGCGCCCGCGTGCGCTTGCGCAACGGCAGACGCGGCGGGGTGGCCGCGGACCAGCTCCAATACGATCTGCCCGAGCGTCGCCGCGGTGGGCGTTCCGGGTTCCGCGGCGTGTCTCGCCCGGCAGCGCGCCAAGTACACCGCCGCGGTGCGAATGGCCAAGCGCAGGACGAAGTCCGCCGGCAGGGTCCTCGGGGAGGAGGAGAGGAGGAGGAAATCCGAGAGGGGCGTCGTGGAACGAGGTATCGCAAGGCTCCGCCACGCGAACTCCCGGACCACCCGGCAACCTGCATAGTGCCCAATGGAATCCTCACAAGCGCACCCAAAAACACAGCGAGAGCCGCGCTGCTGGAAGCGCCGGCCCGTGCACCACCCATTGAACCATGTGCGTAAAAGAGCGGCTCGTACCCGCGGAGGGGCAGCCGCCCGAAGGGTGCCAATGACCTGCCGCGCACGCGGGGCGCGCCTGGCCGGCGGCAAAAAATCGAGGCGCCAACGCTGCATCCGGCGCCGCCAGAAGCGCTCCGCCTCCTCCACCGACGCCTCCTGCGCGATGGAGAGGCACGTCCGTTGCCACAACTTGCGGCGTTTCTTGGCGCGGGCGTCGTCGTCGAGCTCCGTGTCGGCGGCTCCCTCAATGCGCTCCCGCACCCGGCGCGCAGTCCAGCCCAACTCCTCGAAGTGCGAGATGGCGGCGTCCAAGTGCAAGATGGCGGCGCTCTTGAGCCAGCTGTCCCAACCCGCCCGGCGGAGTTCGAAGTCGCAATCGGCAATGGCCCTGCGAAGCTCCCGGGCCCGGCGCGTCGTCTGCAGGCCGCCCTCGTTCGTGGCTTCGTACCGGGCCACGCGGAAGCGGGCCGCGAGCGAGAGCTTCGCAAGCTCGGGAATGCTGCCGGAGAAGCCCATCGAGCTCGGATCCCTCAGAATGGACGGGGAGATCCACCCCCGCGGGCCCGGGAACAAACGGCCCACCGCCTCGCGCTCGACAGCAGCCCAGTCCGCTGGGGCGGGGAGAAGTTGTGCCACGAAGCCGAGCACAGAGACGAGGTAGATCCTGGCAGCGAGCAGCGTGAGCTGGAAGCCGCAGCCGACCTTCCCCCACATGGCGGCCCTCTCGAGAAATTTCTCCATCGGTTTGTCCCACGAGAGGCCTTCGCTGCTGGGGCCGAGGGTGAACCCGAGGTACTCTGCGGCGTGCGCAATCTTCATCGCGCCCCACCTGGGAGCGCAGGCTGCGATCGAGTCCCGGAGCTCGGTCAGGTCGACCGGGCGTAGGGGGGCGACGACCGACTTGCCCGTGTTCAGCGCCAGGCGGGATATCATTTCATACTCGTGGAATAGCTCCTCCAGCTGCGTGAGGTGCAGGTGCAGGTGGGGCGTAACGAGGGCGAGATCGTCGGCGCACGCCCGCGGGGTGGCGGTGGGGAGGAGCCGGCGGAGCCGTCGAAGTAGGAGGTCCGCGGCGATGGCGAACAGCAGCGGGGACAGCGGGCAGCCTTGCCGCACGCCCGCCGAGAGCGCAAACCCCTCGAACCTGTGACCCCCGACGACGATTTGGCAAACGTTGTCGCGGTAGAGGGCCGCTACGAACCTGCCGAGGCTCGGCGGGATGCCACTCCAGCCCAGCAGCTCCAGCACGAAGGACTGGTCGATCGACGGGAACGCCGCCCTGAAGTCGAAGAAGATGCAAGCCCCGTCCTCCTGAGACAATGCGGTGAACCGCATCTCCGTGTCGACGTCGATCACGTTGGCAAGGAGAGAGCGCCCTCCGACGAATCCCCGCTGGATCCTGGAGACCCAATGCTGGAAGACTGCCTCCAGGCGGAAGCGGGCAGCGTTAGCCAAGATGCGATTGTCGAAGTTTACCACGTTGATCGGGCGCACCTTGTCCGCGTCGTAGAAATGGCCAGCGACCTCGTCATAGCCCGACTCTTTCTTGGGCAGGAGGTGCAGGAGGGAGAAGTTGAAGTCGGGAAGGTGGCGGCGCTGGAGCTCCTCGCCGTCGGGGCC